CGCTGAATCCGAAAATGCACATTGTAGGGCGCGAAAATGGCGAAAAACGGCTCTAATACAGGGGGAATTGAGCAGGTGGGCGGGGTCTTCCCCACTGCGAATTCACGTTCCCGGCTTCCGGAGCGACCTTCTCGCTTCCGGTTTCAAGTGAATTATTCGCACTTGGCCGGTAGCGATGTTAGGACGGCTAGCGGAATCGAGAAAATCGCTCCGGGAGCTGAGAGCGTGAAATCGCATTGAGGAAAACCCCGTCCACCTGCCGATATCCCTCCTGTGTTAGAGCCCTTCTTCGCCGTTTTCGCGCTTTCCAATGTGGATTTTCGGATTCAGCATGGCGAGTAGGCCCATATAAGCACAAAATCTCAGAATCGAGTATTTGCCCGGACACTGCCTTTAAGGCTAATAATGGTCAGAGAGCACGCTTGCGGGAGAGGCGCAGACTGCGTCACGTGTGCGAGCGGCCTTAATTAGGTCACAAAGTCTCGCCTTCCAGCCGCCAAGCCTGTTGAATCAATGATTACTGTAACATTTTCTCACAATGTTAGTGAAAATGTGATTACAACTAGATGCTGCACCGACTCGTAGAAAATTAGGTGGTGAAACCAACATGTGTGGAAACCTTGCTTCGAACGGCTAAATTATTATCTCCCTCTCTAGAATTTCCTACCGTAATCATACGATGACGAAAAACCGATCGGTGATTCGCTGCATACTGTAAATGGAAGTTAAGCGGGTTTCACGATATAGTGATTAGAAGATTGCGAGAGCTTTCTATACAAAAGAGTTGTTGAAGATTAAACGTTTGATACACCCTGTATAATGATCGTCGCTTACTTCTACTATAGAAAGCAGTCTAAGAGAGTTGAAACTACTCAAATTTTCTGGCTTCGTCACTCATGAAAGCAAATGGGGTCTCACGAAAAAGCTATTACCTTGTTTTTGTGTCACCTAAGTATCACAAAGTATCAAGAGGTTGGAAGAAACTGAGATTTGCAATAAAGTAGCCGTCAGCTCCTTTTCACAGCTGAAGAAAGATGATAGCCGTAATAGTCTTTAGCAACTTCACTAAAGGTTTCTTTCACTTCGAAAAGATGGCAGCGGTCTATTTTTCTCACGGATTATGCACAGGGTCGAGCAAGAGGTGTGGCTCACAAGCGCCGGATACGACCCCCTCCCCCTATCTTCTGTCTCAAAACCCTCCCCCCCCCCCCACCTGCATTATCGTTTGCCTTCCGTAGGCATGACATAAAGGCTCTAGCATGTATAATTAGGCACATATTCGTATTTATCATGTCAAATAATCACTATGGGCCAAGTTTTAGCAAATTCTGACTGTTCCCAGTATTGCACCACCCAAGTGAAGCGATCATTTTCAAACATGATTAACTATTAGGTTGTTACATAAGTCTTGTTACACTTAAGTTCTAACGGCGATAAGTCATACATCTCATAGTCTTTGCAGGACTCCAAGGTACCATTCGATAGAGCAAAGCAAGCTCTACAAGATAGTCTGCAAAAGTTCGCACCAGCTCCGACCCACCGTAAGTTTGCACCCAAAATCTGAGTAGTACTGAAATTCAAAAAATCGCGAAAAATTCATATCTTTCTTCAGAAAAATCCTACAAATCTCCAACTTGCTCATAAAAATTGCCCACTCTATTGAACACTCATATGTACCGTTGCTGTATTTTTTCCTTATCTAGAAATCGAGAAAAAGAATTTTTTTTGGTTTTACAAAAACGAAGCTGTGCTGTTTCTATTCATGTAGCTGTATACTACAAACTTTTAGAAGTATAACTGTAAGTTTTCAGCTTCCCAGAAGCCATAGTTTTCGAGAAATACCAAACTTAGCTTTTGTCACTCGGGTGTTCAATGCCAAATTAGGTAATTTTCGAAAACTAAGGCTTCTAAAGAGCTGAAAATTTACGGTTATACTTTTACGGGCTTGTAGTATACAGCTACTTAAATAGAAACAGCATAGCTTCGTTTAACAACAAGAAAATTTTCGTTTTCTCGATTTCTAGATAAAGAAGAAATACAGCAACGGTACATATGAGTGTTCAATAGAGTGGGCAATTTTTATGAGCAAGTTGGAGATTTGTAGGATTTTTCTGAAGAAAGATATGAATTTTTTGCGATTCTTTGAATTTCAGTACGACTCAGATTTTGGGTGCAAACTTACGGTGGGTCGGAGCTGGTGCGAACTTTTGCAGACCATCTTGTAGAGCTTGCTTTGCTCTATCGAATGGTACCTTGGAGTCCTGCAAAGATTATGAGGTGTATGACTTATCGCCGTTAGAATTTAAGTGTAACAAGACTTATGTAACAACCTAATACATATTCACAAGCGAATTAGCTAATTCTTTTTGCCCTCAATACAAGTATTATTCCCTATCTACCCATACCATGAATCTCGCTTCAGAAGACCTCCAAACTATGGATTGGAAGCTGGCCAAAATTTCGTTTGTCCCACTTTTCGCTTGTAATTGCTGCGTTTTCACCAGCTTTTACTCAGAGCGAAGAATATGAATCAGGCTCGAATTACTCCTGTGAAAACTACAAGACTCAGGCTACCAAACTATATGTATTTTGTTCGCTAAAATTTTTTTCGAGGCAAGTTAATGGGGTGTGGCACAACCCCTAAAAAGCTGTAGCCGCCACACCTTTTTAGGGGTTGTGCCACACCCCATTAACTTACCTTCAAAGCATTCAAATCTCTGCTTTTTTGTATGGTTGCTACTGTTAAACCTTTTTCTCCACATAGCATGGATTTCAATCAAAATTGTTACTCCTAAGGAAAGATGTAGTAGCTTTTCCTTAGCTAAGGCAGGTGCTATACTCCTCGAGGAGTATAGCATGGCGACGGGCGATCGCCGGTCGTAGCGACTGGCGATCGCCCGTCGTAGCGACTGGCGATCGCCCGTCGCTAATCGATACGTATCAAGCGTGTAGTCGCCGATATTGGCGATCATTATTCATTTCACACTTCCATTTCAAAGTACTCACCAGCCGGTGAGGTCGCCCTAAAGAGAATGAACTGCAAGACCAGTAATTCTCACATTCAACACTTAACGTTAACTTGTTTGGCGACTGGCGATCGCCAATATCGGCGACAAAAATCGCTGGTTTTACACGTATATGATGCATATCGATCGTCGCCATGCTATACTCCTCGAGGAGTATAGCACCTGCCTAGCTAAGCAAATGGAAAACACTGCGAAAATATTGGATTGCGGTAAAATGCTAAGTCTGCGCTACTAGGCGAATCGCGAGGGAAGGCGGCAAGAACGTATATTCGATAGCCTGCTCCTCGTAGCTTTCACAAAAGTGATTTGAGCCTCTAGTATGAGAAATTGAAAACGAAAATTGGGACAAACGAGATTTTGGCTTGCTCATACTCAGAGTTTGTTAATTGAAGTGGGATTCCTGATGTGAGCAAAGAAGTAGTAGTACTTTGTAATATGTGTAAAAAGAAGCAGTTCACTCACTTTTGAAACAAAGTTAGCATGTTCGAAAATGACCACCTCACTTGAGTGTCCCAATATTTGGAAACCTCAAAATTCGCTGAAACTTGGCCCGCAGGGGTTACTTGACATGCTAATTACGAAAGTGATGCTCTCATGCTTCTGGGAGTTTTTTAATATGCTTACTGTGCGTGTGCGACAGTAGGGCAAAGCATCAGCGCTGGTATCCCCCATAATGGGCCTATCAGACATTCTTGAGTACATCATGTCGCTAACATCACTATCACCTCGATGACGACCCCCCCCCCCTCTTCCTGACCCCTTTACGACCCCCAGGTGTGGCCTGCCACACCCCTTGACCCTGATTATGCACACTGATGTTATAGGCTGCTGCATGACGAAGGCGCAATATCTTTGGGCGCAAACGCGGCTTTATTAGCCGCAGAGCGCATGAGGCGCAGGATTCACAACGGTGAAAATAGGCGCGCGCCCGCTTAACTAGTAGCACTTCTGCGTCTTCGTCGTGCAGCACCTTTACGAGTCTATGCATACCTTGCCGCGACCGCCAAGGAAATACAGTGATAATATTTCAGCTGCTCTAAATGAATATTCAAAGAAGTTTCATTGGAGGAACCCCTTCAGAGCTTTATAAAAAAAACCCATGCCTAATTTCAAGGTCTAAGGCGCACCATTTGCTACAAGGTTACGCCCACATTGCCCGTGCCAGGCCAGCGTCGTGCTAGCTCTGTACTAGTGTCCATGTGAACGTGTCTCTTATTGGTCGATCGGCAGCGACGGCATAAGGGAATTCCGAAAAAGGCCTAAACACGAGGAAACTCTAAAGCATAGCTGCGCAAATTGAGAGCGCTAGCTCTCTCTCTCTCTCTCTCTCTCTCTCTCTCTCTCTCTCTCTCAGAATTCTCATAGTTCGACAGCCCCATAATGGAAGGATTCAAACGGGACTTGCCGCAGCAGTCAGGATATGTGGCTCATAAATCGAGATGATTTGGTATCTGCACAATTCAGGAACTTCAGTAACAAGGCTTAAATAGAGAAATTTTTCTAAAGTGAGTTAACACTCAAAAGTATTGACTGTGCAAAATGCGACATTTATAGGCGCCTTTACCTAGTAAAAATACAATAATTTATAATCCCTGTTCGCAGTCATGAGACAGTCAAGAGTTCAATCATCTTATGATCCATTACCAATTCGTTCCTACAAAAACATGCTTCCTTTCTTCGCATTGCAAGTTCTCAGGATTCCTTGTATTCGCCGAGAAGCGTTTATGTGCAGACTATAAACATTCACAAATATCGAACAGGGCATGAATATGCCCTATGTCGCAAACTTCATGATAGGAAGCACACATTTCAAGTTTAGAGACTCGATATTCTATGAATTATTTTGTGTGCACAAACATCCACTTGAGAAACGATGTTCGTTCGATTAGACTATAAATATGCAATTGCCTTACCGAGGTCAAGCTTAGAATGAAAATCTTTCTGATCTTTATGCTGATTCTGTCCAACGCTCAGTTTATATGCCCTGATGTTGATATTATTAATGCCGTGCCAACCATGATCGCCCAGTGCTACAAGGATTGGAGTCGCTGCACTCCAGCAACGAAGGTTAGTCGTTCTCCTTCATTGACCGATCTAAAGCTACTTTATAGTTCTTATCTGGTTCCTTGTGGAGAACCTGCGAGAAACGATGCCAAGAATGCTTGGGACGAGAATGGGGAGAATGCGTTGAGGTGAAAGCTGGACCTTGCAGCGGGGGATATCAGTGCCAGTAGGGACTCCGTACTGAACAGCCACTACACTTTGGATCATGCTCTTTGCTTTTCAGGTGCAAGGGTGGAAAAGTAAAGAATTCAAACCCAAACCCTAACATAATTACTTGTCTCCTTGGGCTGTGATGTGCATTGTGAAATGGGCAATATAATCATAATTTTCATTTTGTAAGATAAATATCCAATTGATTGATGCATATTTTTTGCAGAAGTTTGTGTGATACATAGGATATGGATACATAGACAGCGGTACCTTGATGTCATAGGAGCATGGTACACCTAGGCAGTGAATGCAAGGATGAATTAGCAAATGAAGTTACATATAGACGCGCTGAAAAAATGCAGTTGAAACATATTAGTAGGACAAATGAGGCAGCGCTCAAGCCAAGCCCATCAACTCTTTGGTCTTGAGCATACTTAGCACACGAATTATTCGGTTTACTGGATCGTCTGTGAAATGAAACCGGTGCTGCGCTATTCTCACATAGGTGAATGTACACTACAAACCTTCATAAATGGATCGGTAAATTTTCAGCTTCTCAAAGCGCTGCTGAGGAATACCGAAGTTAGCTTTTTTGCTAGGGTATTTTATGTAGAGATCAATATCTCTTGGGAACTACAGCCTCAACTAAGCTCGTGTTCACGGCATCTGGGCAGGATCAAAGGATCTACTCATCGGTACCGTAACCCTGGGCGATATTGTAGTCAGGCAAGGCATATCCTATAGTCGTTTCGCAAAAATGGGAGGATGGGGGGACACAGACAGCTACAAAGTTTATCTGGGCGGTTCAGATGTTACTGTGTACCATCTTCGCAATCATAGACATTCTGACAAAGAAAACGTCTTTAGAAAAGTTCACAAAATCATTTTCAAGTTTTCTGTACTCATTTCTACGCGGTGCACAGAAAAGAAGAATTTAGAAGAGTTTTCGAATTTTTTGATATTTTTTTCACAACTCTTTGGAACGCGAGGCAGAGTCAGTGTAAGCGACAGTGTCAAAATTCTCTCTCTGAAAAAAATTACAAAAAAAGTTGAAAATTTGGGAGTGAAAACTTGTAGGGGTACATATCATGCTGGTGGATAGACCATGCTATTTCCCATGTGTGTCTCAAATTCGAAATTTTTTAACAAGCTTCTGGAATTTTCTAAAAGAAACAGAAATAAGTGTAACAGAACTTATTCGACAACATGATACTTAGTAAGGGGAATCAGGAGCAAAAAAGCTACATATTCTTCTCCAATGTTTTTTCATCCTCTCTACAAAATCTTGCTGCACCTTAGACAACATTCAACTCAAAAATGGAGGACAATTCTTATCGTTAGTTTATTATTTATTATCCCTGTGGTTTCCATAACGGACCAATTCTTTGGCGATTAAACGACGTCTCTTTTGAAAGATGCTAAATCAGCCTGCTATGGTTGGGTTGATGATTGAACTCAAGAAAATTTGTTTCATCTACCAATTATTTATAATATTAACAATTTCATTGCTTATCGAGGTTTTCAGGAAATGAACTGTAACAAAAGTATTGCTTGCGATAATACGTTCTGCAGATAGGGCAAACAGACAACGTTTCAGTAAGTAGACTAGGAAGGTATTTGATTGTTCTATAGTGTGGACCCCGGCCAGCTTCCCATAGGTACCTGCGCGACGCTCCCGCAGCGCATGCCTTCAGTGCGCTATCGTTTCTGCTTCATATGGAAATTTTTATGTTTTCTTCTCTAAACTGGCTTTGTTCTGTTTGTGAACGCTCTGTTTCAGGTGTAGACGACTCAGGAGAACTTCCTACGATGGGTTTTTGAGAGCCTTAATAGTCTTAACAGCCTTTGTCTCAGGAATTCTCTTTTTTTTTTCGATAGCGGAGATTTTAGCATATTTTAGTGGAATATTTCTCTAAAGATTTTGATTACAGAGTAGGCGTGCCTATCCGATTGATTTATAAAGTACATATAATTGCTTCTTATTCTTTTGTAATGCGCCAGTGGGGCTCTGGTTGTACAAATGTGCTCGCTAGCTTACGCTTTTTAACTTTTTTTCAGATGATCACAGAAGGAAACGTTTCGAAAGTAGCCTTCGACTCTTTGTTTCTTCTAGCATTCTCAATCAGCGGTATTTTCATACTAGCATGCAGGAGATTGACTGATATCTGCGCGCTAGTGGGGGCTGTGAACGTTTTCTTCTTGCCTAGGCTCTTCTCGAGCTGAGACTGATGATTTCCACTTCTTATTTCATTCCTCCATTATGTAGAAATGCTTTTTTACTCATAAATGAACGAGAAGCGTCAGGCCGAGCGCGCGTTGCGTATGCGCCGCGGCGGTACCTATGGGAAGCTGGCCGGGGTCCACACTATATCAATCGTCTTCTTATTGTTAGAGAATGTTTATTCGACCAGCGTCTCGTCTATGCTCGTCATCTTCAAAAGATATGAACGTAAATAGGTTTTTTGGATCTGACCAGCACACTGAGAGTGTCCTCTATAAGTGCTAGTCTATATATACCTTGCCGAAAATAGCAGCGCGAAACCATTAGGGTTGAACAACCTAACCCTTTCTCTACCACATAGGCCCGCATGAGTGAACACACGGATCTGAGTGCTTTTAGCCAAGATTGTGTGCGATTGCTCACTTTGCATGATGGTGTAAACGATAAAGATTACTGATATTGGCAGAAGTACATGATATTAGTATTTTCTGATTTCTCATTATTCAACTGCTTTATTTTTTCTTGCATGAATCTTCCTCGTAAGACAGAATGGTACATTTTGTTCTAAAGCCATTTGTGCCATGTGTCCCGACTTTGTGCCAATGTAAGGGCCTATTACCCTAATTTCCGGGGTATAAGGCGCACCTTGTATAAGGCGCACCCGTCGCAGCGAACAATGGCGCGAAAACGCTTTTTAAATGATTGCTTTCCAAATCTAGCAAGCTCAAGAGTTATCATTGTTTTTCGCTGCCCACGATTCATGTCTTCAGGTACTTTTTTTACTCTTTTCAAAATGTATATTTTAACATCGTTTCTACAGGTGGAAGGAAGTCATACACAGCTGAAATTAAGCTCAAAGCAGTGGACTATGCGGCTGAGTATGGAGTGGCCCAAGCTTCATTACATTTCCACGTCGATCGTAGGATGATACAAAAATGGCGAAGTGATGAACAGAAACTCAGGAGTTGCGAAAGAACCAAAAGAGCGTTTAGAAGAGCTCCACCAAGAAGGCCGGTACTGGAAGAAGAGTTGAGGGTGTGGATAATCGAACAGCGTGATCAAGGAAGAAGAGTTACAACAGTTAGATTGAGGACCAAAGCTATTGAAGTGGCACAGAGGCTTGGATACGAAGATTTCACCGGTAGTGCTCACTGGTGCCATAGCTTCATGAAAAGGAAAGGGTTTTCTGTCAGACAGCGAACCAGCGTTGGCCAGCCGCTCCCACCGGATGCCGAAGCCAAAATGGCTGACTTCAGAAATTTTGTAATGGAGAACACAATGGATGTCAATCCAGCAAATTTAGGAAATTTTGACGAAGTTCCTGTCCCATACGACGTAGCAGGCAACCGAACCATTGAAGTCACTGGCAAGGATGACGTAGCAATCGCAACGACGGGTCATGAGAAGAAAAATATGACGGTCGTTTTGGGTGTCACTGCGGATGGCAACAAACTCAAACCGATGCTGATATTCAAACGGATTACCATGCCCAAAGTGAGATTTCCAGAAGGAGTTGTCATCAAAGTTAACCAGAAGGGATGGATGACAGAAGCAATCATGAAGGACTGGATTAGAGAATGCTGGTTAACGAGACCCAATGCTGCTCAAGAACCTAGCCGCTCAATGCTCATTTTCGATTCTGCAAGGTCGCACTTGAGCGATGAAGTTAAAGCTGAGATTGAGAGCGTTTCCAAAATTGCCGTTATACCAGGAGGATTGACAAAATATTTGCAACCCCTTGATGTGGCCGTCAACAAGCCGTTCAAGGACAATCTGAGGAAACATTGGGACGCTTGAATGGCAGACAGCAATCAGGTGGAATTGACTAGAGGAGGAAAAAGAAAGCCGCCGCGTTTAGAGTTGCTTGCCGAATGGGTTCTCCACAGTTTTCAAGATGTCAGCGTTGATTCGGTCCTGAATGGATTTAACGAAGCCTTGCTAACAGATGTGGACATAGATGATCTCAATGACAGCTTCTCATCAATGAATCTTGTCAGTAACGATAACGTAGGTGCTTAAATTGTGTTTTTTCTTGATTTTGATTCATTGTCCTCTTTTCTCATTAATGTTGATGGTGTTCGAATGATTCTTTTTTTTCAAAGGGTGTTATCGGTGCTATATTTGTGCTTTCCTTCGTTTTCAATAATGTTACTGGTACTAAAACTGTGCTTTCTTCACAATGATATTACAGGTATTTTGAAGATGATATTTTTGTCATACTCTTGTTAATCTTGAAGAATAAAAGAGAATGTAGAGATTTGTTTCAAGATTAATCACTGTTGAGAGTAGTTCAGCAAAGAACGGCAGCAAAAAGCTACTGCTGGGTGAGAGTTTGCTGTTGGCTGCTTGTGCGGCGCCGCGCATCGCGAACGTCATCGCACATCAGTCCGCGCGCGGTGAAAGCTACTGCGCCTTATACCCCGGAAATTAGGGTAGTATCCCACATTTTGCAAGTTAGATGTTTTTCTAAAACTACTTCCAACGCTCTACCTGTCCTCCCTATGTAGCAATCTAGTAGCATAGAAATTTAGCTGGTTTGATATCCCTGCTTTTGCATAATCTTCTGTGGCCGTATTCATCAACGTTATCCAGTGGGTTCCGCTCCCCAGTGGGTAAACTTACCCATGGATTCGCTTACCCAGTGGGTAAGCTTACCCATGATCGGTATTCACGAACGCCTCTGCCGCTGGGTTAGCTTACCCAGCAGCGCTGACGTCTGCAGGGTGCTCATTGACGTCTATTTAAAGCACGTACTGGCATCCTTGCTGTGCCCTTGCATCGTTTTTGTAGTTCTTCACAACTATTTGTGTGCAATATCTCTACAACATATTCACAAACGCCTCCGCTCTGCGTTATCGAACTCAGCAGCAACCCTCGAAATTCTCATCAAAATTCTCGCGTAAGTTTGAGTCTTTTAGCATGCAAGCTAATAGTTTGATTCGACCGCGGGACTGAATCATTGTTTGAAAGCTTCCGTCTTTC